GTGAGTTGTTTGGTCACACAGGAGGATCTAAAATATCTAGCAAAGGTGGAATTTTTACAATGGAGTCAGGATTTGAAGTACATTGTTTTTGCTCAATAAGGAATATAGTGAGTCCCATATTCCTCAAACACATCCATTGACATCACTTTACATCAAGTAAACAAGGAGTTCAATGTACAGTGTTGATAAATAATGAAGAAGTTGTTTGGTTCTAGTTTAATTTGGCAATAGTACAAAGCACCTGTGCTTTTATAGGCCTCAGTCAGGATTTGTGTGTAGAAGGGTCAGCAGAGAAGTGTGTGGGTGTAATTGGGCTTAAGATGTAATGCAGGGGAGCAGTGACTTAAGGGTGATTACCTGCAATGTCCTGAGATGAAGAGCGCCTAGTGGCTATGCCTTTGATTCAATCAGCATCACACAGAGCAGCGCTGTACACAGTCTTCTTCTTAAATGTTCAATGTGCTTTCTCCAGTGATGCCCCAGGAACACAGAAGCTGCACTTGTTTATGAGCCCCAGGAACAGAAGGCTCTCGACATCCTCCCAACAATATATTCTAATACCACATACATACTTTAGTCGTGCACCTCTGATTTGGAAACATGTGTTCCCCAGTGGTGTTGGATTCGTTCTAGTCAGGTCTACAACTGTTCATAGGCTTTCCTCTTAGACCAAAGTCAACATTGTTTTTATTTGTGTTTGACTAAATTATTGCTTTTATTTAACTCGACTTTTAGATTATTCTAAAAATGTTTAAACTGGACCAAAACAGATGGAACAATTATCATTAATATGTTTTAGGTTCAATGTTTCGAATATAATTAATGACATGGTAGAATTGCGGAGAAAATACTTTAAAATGATGTAAAACATGCCATAGTAGAACTCATTAACCCGTTAATGTTTGCAAGCTTTGGAAATAATTTCCCCCCTTGTAATACCATTGCGGAAACTGGAGGCGCACCCCCAGTTTAGAAGCACTGTTCTACACTGCAGCTACACATGTAGATGTAGATTAGAATTAATACAAAAACAGACTTTCTTAAAAATACATTTTTATTATTGAAATGGATGAAAAGCTATTGATGGCACAGAGAATACCAGAAAGACATCAGCTCTCCAGCTCAGACCAATGACAAGAACATGGGCTGCTGTACACACTACTAAAAAGAACCTGGTGAAAATAGGCCTTGAATACTTGTTTAAAATCATTTTCCTTGGCATGTATACAGTGCCATGCCAGGGTCACTGTTGCAAAATTACATTGAGTATATGACTAATTTGAACATACAAAAATGCTTTCCCACTCAAGTTAGTGATTTTGACTAGACTGAGTTCTCAAGTCAAAATGAACAAAAATCCAGATTATTTCCAGGTCCAACAGACAGAACAATTGATAAAGCTACACTTTGACACTAAACACTTGAAATGCTAAAATCACATTGTAAGCAATAGATTTACAGTAGCCCTGTAATGACACAAAATCAAAACACTCCTATTCTCCTTTGCCTCCTCATGTCTATGTATCTTACACACTTCATTACAGTACATCTATCCACACATCTTTTAGCCTCAAATCGTCTCCCATAAAGAAAAATCAGACAAAACAGTGCTGCTAAATTCCCACATTTGATGAATATGGTTCTGCGTGAGACGATAATCCATAACATTTAAAAATATACTCTGTTAATTAGAATTATACACATTTTTAGTATATACCATAATATACAAAGTGCTTCCTGTGTTTGTAACATTAATAGACCTAATATCCACACACTACATTAAGAGGTGCTTCATTAGGGAACTGATAAGAAATGCTGTAAACAACGGTACGAAGGTTGACAACAGTTGTAGTGTTATTACTGGGAATAAAAAAAAAAAAAAGTGCATATGACAGGTTTTATCCATTTCACTAAAACAGTTCAAAGTTGCATTCATGATTAGACTTAAGGTTTTGACTATGGCTGCACAATGCCATAAAAAAGGACTCTATTCGACGTTGCTCCCAAACCAGTCTGGCCACTCTAGTCCGGCCTAAAACCACATATTTTTTTAATCCCAAAACGGTGAGTGTGACACAAACAGTTACTGAGCAAAGAGGAATTTACTTTTCAATGTAAATCGTGGGAGCCAGAGCGAGTTGGAGTAAAACTTTGTCCCTGAGCCCTTCCCTATTGGGCTTCATTGAGCGAGGGGGTCATTACAAAGTGCTATGTGATAACTAAAAATCCCATGAAAAGTAGACGCTAAACAAAGCACATTCGTTCACACAAAAGCTGTAATTTATCAAGTGGAAATCGGAGAAATTCATGTGTGTCACTAATCCCATGTTATATATTTATATTATTTTTAAAAAGATTGAAATTAAAAGGAAAAACTTGCCATAAGGGGGCAGTGGTAGAGCATTGGCCTTTGAGCCAGACATAGGTTCGAGCCCACCACAAGACCTTCTCCAATGGATAGAACTTGTCATAAGCACTTTAAGATTTTCTACAAATAAGTGTTGCGAGTTCATATTCTGTCTTTATTGTCGGGGAGGTAAATACACACGCAAGCAAAAACTAAAGTATTTGTAGACTAAACATTCCTTTTTAATGTTGCATTAATACAAATAAAAAATCTTCATAAAAAATAAAAAATAAGCTCCAAAAGCCCTCAAAAATATTCTAATCTTGCTGTTAAAAAGAGACCCAGCACCACTAGATGGAGCCATTTCCACCGTTCGCCCTGCACGTCACCACATTCACGAATATCTGCCAAAATCTCCTTCATGTACAAAAAAAGCCGTACAAAGTTAAAGGATAATATGCAAACTTCATCCCTTTCCCAGTATCCCTGTATTTCTGAACAGCTCATCAATACGGCGTAAATGCAGAATTATTACATGTCCCCAGCAGCATATTGTTGTAATTCGAGAATAATATATAATTACTGATAAAACCTTGTTAAGAAAATATATTAAGACAATTTTGCGACTGCATCAGGCCAAAAGTAGAAACAGCACAATATTCACATTTGCCAGCGTTTACGTGCACACAAAGCTGCGCCGTATGAGACAGGGTTTTCTTTGCTCTATAAGTCATTTGAGTGAGTGTGACCAACAACTGCAGATTACTGTGAAAGCTGTGAAATGATGCAGAGTAGCCTATACAAGCGATATAAACAGGACATAATGAAAAATGCACCTACTCTGTAAAGTGATGACAGTATTCGGATTTGAAAGTCCAGTGAGGGAATAACAAAAAAAGGCTATAAATTGTGGTTGTAGCAGGGTTTTGCATTGAACTATTGTAAATGCTGAAATTCCATCTATCCATTATAAACTTTGTACTGAATACTAATTTTAACATCAATCTAAATAAAAAATAATAATATTTTTCTAGACAAAATAATAGTCTTGGTAAATGATGCAGGTTCTGGCTAAAACTACAACATGCTAATACTAATAATACACTTGTCAGAATCCAAAGTTCGGACTTAAAGCTGGGGAACCGAAGTTTTATTTTTCTCCACAATAAAGTTTGTTAGTCTCAACGAAAAAAAAAAAAATCTAAACGACTCAAGACACAACTTTCTGTCTGCATGTTATCTTTTGCATAGGCCTACTTGTTAGAAAGAGTCAAGACACTATTTGACAAAAAAAATGTTAAAAAAACTTAAAAACAAGAGCTTGTAACGAGGCTCAAGTTACATGCATTATAATACATTGCTCAATTTGCAGTTTGAAAAGTAGGTATCCCAGCTTTAAGCGCTATGCTAACTGATTATTTGAACTTACTCAAAAAGCAACAAGTGAATACACTTCACAGCTTATTAAAATATCACCTGTTTTTTTGCGTAAACCTCACAAACCAAGACACGATCCACGTTTTTACGACAAAAATGTGCAATGACGATACCTCTGTGTCTTTTCTGAACACATTGTTGATATATAGCTACCTACATTTGAAAAACTAAGCCAGCCATTGAACAAGCTTCTACTACAGAACTTACAATGGTACTTACTATATATGGACATATTGGATATAAAGACAAAGCTTACATAACACTTTCCAGTTTCTATATTTAGCAAGAGGAGAATTTCAATAAAGAAAAAAGAATAAAGTCTGTGTTGTTTTGCCCTTTCATTGTGCGCTTTAAGGCACTCTATGGTTCTCACGCTTTAAGTAGCGACGTACTACGTAACTTTCCGAGTTTTTTGCCCCTCGATTGTACTTTGCCTGGAATGATCGATGTTTACATCTGCTTAGTACGAATCGTTTTCACAGTTTGTATTTTGGCATAAAAAACTGATTAAAAGGTAAGAATGCTAACACACGATGGAACATTACAGGCAAAAGCAACATCATTCTTAAAATATCGATTCAGTTTTGAATACGTTTTGTTGCTGTCATTTTACGTAACTTCACTTTTAAAATATATTTGCGCCTGTTTCGGAACTACATCTGTCCTAGAAATGCAGAGATCACAACCAGGTACTACTTTTACGTTCTGTGCAGAGTTTTGGCTCCTCCCACACTTATTTTTTAACTGTTTCAGGGCGTCTCAACCTGCTCAACCTCCAACAGTATACGGACCAACTCATTTGACCATCTGAGCAGCAGCACTTTCAGTCTGCACGATGAGAAAGCATGGAGCCACCAACGTGATCATCTCCATGTAGCTTTATCATTACTCTATTTGCATCTCAAAATACAACACAATATAATAAAAAGACAGGAATGTGTGCTGTGTTTTCTCTTTTGTCTATTGACATTTTTTCCGTTGCAAAATAGATCTCCGTTCCAAATACCATAGCTACGATGTGCTTGTCTCAAGAAAACTATTCCTCTTCCTTATGAATTTAAGACTGGACAATCTCGACAGCTGCAGCAAACGCTTGAGTCCGTAAAACTTGCCGTCTGTTGACCACAATCTTGTACTGTCTTTCTCCCAATCCCATTGAAAATACAATCCCTTTTTGTTATGATTTGGCATTCACGACACGGTATTTCCAATGTTTTCACTTTGAGAGGTGTCCAAAGAGCTCTGGGGTGATGTAATCCACCGTCATGGCGGGCAGGGGCTTGAGGGGGTGCTGTGATTGGCAGGAGGGGGGCGGGACTTGTTGTGCAGGTGGGTTTAGCAGCAGACTGTGCTGACTGTTCACTTCCTGTACCACAGTGTAGTCCGCCACAGGGGTGAAGACGGGGGACTGGGGGGACTCGGGGGGCAGGATGTAGGTCGACTGCAGTTCCTCTGTGGGTCTGGACTCCAGGGTTTGTGGCGGGACGGTCTGGTAGCCTTCAACGGACCCTGGCGGCGTCGAGGGAGTGCTGTTTTGTTTACTCTCTGTCATTTCTGGATCCACCACCAACAACTGAAAGTGTACGTCCGTTGCGTTTTCCTCACATGCTTTGGGGTTACTTCCCTTTTTGGATTCGTCTTTGTTCTCCTGCACTCGTAGCTGTTGCCCCGGAGACAGGACCACCCCTCCAGAAGGCATCACGTTGCTCACCTGGGCGTAAAAGTCTGTGTTGACCCATGTTTGCGGCGCTGTAGCTCGGACAGGGTCGAGACCTCTGTCAGAAACACCCTCCCGATCCTCTGGCTGACCCGGAAGCAGGGTTACCATGGAGATGAGAGGGTCCTGGTCGGGGTGGTCTGGGTCGTAACAGCTTGCCAGACCCGAGTCATCACCAGGGAAACTGAAAATTAAAATATGAGGATGTATATAATTCAAACATTAAAGGTTCAGTAAGCGATTTTGTTAGCTTAGCCGTAGCACCAACTCGAAACCACTCCCCCCTCCCCTCGCCTCTCCACCAAACAAAACATCCAGCTTTTTCTTTTCTTTGTCACAAGGAGAGTGGGTGGCAATCGGTCCGCTCCAAAATACTTTTTATTAATTTTTGTAGACTATAGGCATCTGGTCAATTCCATTAATATTTGAAAACACATGATAACTTGAATACTTTCAGGGTTTAGGGACGTTTTCCCACAATATTTTAAAAAATGCGTCTAGAAAAAAATCACTGGCTGCATCTTTAACATTATGATTAGAGTCATGGTGAACCAAATCCTATTCAGTCTACCCTGGGATTCGCTCGGTGAGGTTCAATTCAAAACTATGGAGTCACAGACATGCCTCTCTGTAAGTGAGTATTTGTTAAACAGCTAAAGTGACTGTTTAGCTGTTGTAAACATAAAATAAGGTAAACTTTATTTTATTTTTTAAGGGAGAAATGTACATGTCACATTTGGCATGGATAGAATCAGTCATCATAGTTCCCTTTGTGCAAAATATTCTGTATTATGTACAATAAAGGTGACTATAGCAGTGTGAGTTTTTTCAGTCCTAGTGCAAACACATGTGAACATAATGTGTGCCCTTTACAAATGTTCTGTCTTCATCTTATTAGCGATGGATCATGTTCCTGCATTATGTCTCCTTAACAAATACAATATTATCCAATACCATCAAAGTTTGGGTTCATGCATATGCTGCTCTTGTCTTTATTAAGTTGGCTTGGTTGAAAATATGTTTGAAAAGGTTCATGTGGCTCTACATGGACGATAACCTTGCTGCAGTCCGGTATAAAGCGATTCCCTGGGGACCTGGGTGCACTCAACTATGACTTTGAAAGACTGATATTGAAAGACTAACACGTTTTTTGCCTCTTTATTTTGACACATTCCTATCTCTCTCGTGGTGAAGGCCGACACGGGTACTAACACACCTCAACCTTTCACACTGCATTTCAACCCAGGCCTAAAACACGGGTCTGGAGTGAATAAAGACCTAATGTTTGAACACTGTCATATTTTACAACATAATAAGTCACAATTCCAATAGTCTGCTGTCTTTAACCTATTTGTAACTAATCTATTTCCTATCTCACTGCAGTAGAGATCTATGACAATCAGCCATCCTCGTCACTACAAGTCTGAACATATGAACAATTATGCGGGTCTATACGTTACCAGTTTACGTTGCAGGTCCCAATGTGCATGTGCGGGGGAACAGGCTGAGACAGGGTGAGGAGCCTTTGGGTGTCGGAACCCTGGTTTTCCTCTTTCTCTCCACAATCTGCCGCTTCCGTGTCGACCTCGATGAATTCGACCCACGGCTCGTCCTGGTAAAAGTCTGGTGCGTGTGCAGGCAGGCCGCCCACTCCCCCTCCACTCAGCATTAGGTTCAGCTCCTCCAATTTACCTTTCTGCAAGCACACAAAGCAGTAGAACGCTCCATTGATTTGAATGTAGTTTCAAAACGTTCTACCGGTCATTATTTCTTGATAACCGACCTCTCAAAACAATAATGGCCGCTGCCGATGGCAACGCAATCTCTGCTTGTAATTCAGATGTGTAGATTACTCCGCAAGTAGTCCGGCCACTTCGTCACAAAGAGAAGCTATCGGATCAAACCAGGCTCAATAGAAACGAATGAACGAACGAACAATCAATCAAAACATTTAAATGTTAATCGGAGAATACATTATACATTATACATTCTTAACACACGTGCGCGGAGGTTTTCAGAATTATCTGTTAACGTTTTCTAGACAAAATTACTGTTTAATGTGACAAAAAGCGATCGCGATAAACCCGGAAGTAACCATTAACATGCAACGAACATTTTAGGACACATTTGAAGAGGGCCTGATTATGGATTTAGTTTGAGTATTTATAAGGGTCATTCACCGCTGATGTTCAGAATTCTTTGTTCACTTTTCATGTAGTTTGAGATGAGTTCTAGTTTTGAAGTAGGTTAGCTAGCCTAACTGTCACAGAAAAACCTTTGGGAACTATTTTATTTGCAGTCATTAAATAAACCATTCGGCATTCCTAACAGTGGACAGAAGTTTTTTTTTTCTGTGTTCGGTTGGTACAAAGCTGTATAATAAGCGAGATAATGTTTAGTACGCAGGTCATTATCGGAAAATAAGTACCGACAGGGCAGGTCTGCATCCGCCCTGACCTATACATTATCCCTTACATAAATAATACATGTTCATCCCAGCAGAAAGACTATTTTTAAATGTGGCTCTCAGGGCTTTTTCTTTCAAGTATACACAAGATAACACAGCCTGAGTCCTGGAGCTATAGCCTGTCGGTCTGTGGGAGCGGATCCCTAACTCGATAGGGCAGGGGTCTCCAACCTTTTCCGTTGGAGAGCTACTTTATCGTGACAACACTGGCCGAGAACTACTCCTTTTAGACACTTGACAAAATGTTGTGCTACAATGGATTAACTTGTTTTTATCTTGATTTCTTAAAACAATACAGCTTTAGTCCTATCTCCAGCACAGATATAGGACATGTATTACGTATTCTAAATGTAAATATTGTTTTAGGACAGTCAAAATGTTTGGGCAATGTATACCTTTATTTTAAATTGTTTGTTGTGTAGTGTGATGCCCATAAAACATTCCATCATATTCATTTTTAAATTGACTCATAAAATCATCCTTTGGGGAGCTACTTTGAAGAGGGTGGCGAGCTACTGTTAGCTCCCAAGCTACAGGTTGGAGAACCCTGCAATCAGCTTCCCCGAGGTTTCCCACTTTTCCCACTGTTTAAATTGTTCTTTGCCAATGCAGGAAGGTCTAAGGACAGTGATGATCCGGGATATTTAAGGACATTTATGGAAATTAGTCATCCCACGCCCCAATGGACTCATATAACCTTATTGCATTCATTGTGTTTGATTCTCTGATTTGTTGTTGAGAAATTGACAACCTTAATAATAATAATAATGCATCGGTTTTATATAGCGCTTTTCTGGACACTCAAAGACGCTTCACATGTGTCATTATTCATTCACTCCATACACGGTGGTGATAAACTACTGCTGTAGCCACAGCTGCCCTGGGGCACACTGACAGAAGCGAGGCAACCAGTATGCGCCATCGGCCCCTCCGACCACCACCAACCAGTCACACACACACCAGACTCATTCTAGGCAATGGGGGTGAAGTGTCTTGCCTAAGGACACAACGGCAGTTTGGCACTTTACAGCCGCAGCCGCCCCACTGTGGCTGGTGTTCCCAGAGGTTAAGTGTCTTGCCAAGGACACAACGACAGTAGTCAGAGGGAGTCGATGGTGAAAGTCTTGAGCGGGGCTTGAACCCACGACCTTCTGGCTCAAAGGCCAAAGCTCTACCAACTGAGCTACTGTCGCCTTATAACCTTGTAAAGTTGTACACAAATAAATTGAATTGAGTAGCATGTCTTTCAATACAATAAATATGTTGTAGTCTGATTTGTTCACAACATTTGTACACTTTTACAAGACTCTGTTGGCTGAGGGAAAAAAAAAATCCCCAGCTTTAACCACAGACATGATTTACTGTTTCAGAGTCACACACATACAACAGTGTATTGCTGAACGCTCTCGACTACACATTCAACTGCTCCCTTTTGTACTCTCTAAACAGCGAGTGTTTTTGATCATATGCCACTAAATCGTGCAATCCCTTTCTATTTGCAGTCCCAATATTCTCTCTTTGTCAAAGTACCTCTAATGTGATGTGATGGGCCCTCTAATGAAAAAACAATGCAGCTCTTTGCTTTGATGTTTAGAGAAATAATCAGTGGAGAAGGCGTAGACGGGGATGCAGAGGCTGATCCGAACATGGAGGACATTTAATTACAATGAAAATGGAACCAAAACAACTGGTTATACAACACTGCTTTAGAACCACTCTATATGTAAACAAGATGGACACTACTCTGAGGGATGTGGTAATGTCCTATTCCATTTTTGTAAGCGACCAAACACAAAAGTGAGTTAACCGTCCCCTCACAAAAGTTATTCTTACTTTTGCATTTTTATATTAGTTTTAATATTCATAGTATTTACATTTTACAAGGGTATCTGTGTACACTGGTGACTGTAAGTCACTAGTCACTTTCAAATACACATAAACAATAAAAGTATTAAAAGAGTAGAGGAGTTCAAGTATCTCGGACTACTCGTGGACTCATCTTAAATTTGGAGCTCATGTGAAAAAAATAAAGACAGTTAGGATCAACTTGAACTGTTTCCGTCTAAAAAGATCAAAACTCTCAATCAGTGCAGCAAAGTTGTTCTTTCATTCAATGATCTCGTCTCATTTTTCATACTGCATCACTGTGTGGGGCCAAGCTCACCAGTCCACCGTGAAAGGTTTGAACTCTCTGTACAAGCAAGCTCTGAAAGCCACAATGTGCCACCTTTGCAGAGTTCAGAAAAAGCATAATCTTTTATTTAATCTTTTTATTAAACTAGTTTTTAAATGTGTAAACAACTTCGCTCCAAATATCCTTGCAGAAATGATTGAGACATGTGCAGCTCACAGGATGGCCACTAGGGGCGCTGGAAATATAGATTGCAGAGCAACAAGATGTAAAACATCATTTGGACAGACTGTGTTTGCAGTAAAAGGACCAATGCATTGGAACACGTTACCTGCAGAACTGAAAGCTCTAACAGACCTGAAGGATAATGATGCATGTACAAAGTAAATGTGATGTATTTCTATGTCTTAGGGACCAGGTCTGCAAACTAGCTGTTAGCTATAAGGCCTATGAACATCGCATTGGTTCCTGTAACAATGCTTCCTGTTCTGTCGCTATCAAATAAACACATAATAATAAATAGTGTAATAGCCTGGACATAAAATTTGGGCGACAGTGGCTCAGTTGGTAGAGCATTGACCTTTGAGCCTGAAGGTTGTGGGTTCAAGCCCATCACAAGACCTTCTCCACCAACTCTCACTGATGTCTACTGCTGTTGTGTCCTTGGGCAAGACACTTTACCCACTTTGCCTGAAGCCCCCGCTGAAAGACAAAGGCTATGCCATAGAGCAGCCGTCCTCCTGTGGACTCACCATCTGCAGGTTGATCAGTGAGGGGCTGGTGCTCTGTGTACTGGGTGGCATCTCTGGCCACCCCCCCAACCCAGAAATGGATCAAGGGGTAGAAAATGGATGGATGGAGGGACAAAATTTGGTTTAAAATTGGAAGCTAGTCTTAATCGAAGGGGTGTTTTAGTTTTAATAAGAACATTTAAGTAATGGCCAAAAAAGTTAAATAATAATAAATCATATCTGGTGAAATGTGTAGAATTAATTTCATACTCTTGGCATGAGTAAATAAGTCATATTTATTTATATAGCAGCTTTCGCATACATAGTTCCAAAGCGTGTTACAATTGCTTGTGGTATTTGGAGTGAAAATTGGGAAACGAGAGCACTAGGGGGAAACTGAAACACCCAGAGGAAATTTATGCGCGGGGAGAACATGCAAACTCCAAATAGAAAGAACCCGTCTGGACATGGAGTCGAAAAGCCTTTGCTGCAAATACAGTATCTTTGAAAGTAAAGGTCTATGACTATGACGCTAGTGCAGACCATATACAAACAATAACAACTAGCTTATATGTTTATATTTGGATATAGGAAAACGTGAAGATGTTGGATTGGATTTGTGTGAGAAATCGTTTTTGACATGTATATATTCACAAATACAAACCTTTATCAATTCAGAGTCTATTCCCTTTATTTTGGGCGCGGGAACAGGAGGCAGTAGAATCATCATTATTCTGCGATGAAAGTGAAAAGGACGTTGTAAAAATGGAATTCGTTCACGAGAGATTACGTCAGACAAATATTGCTGTCTTACCTCTGTTGCTGAGAGACGACAATGAACATGATGATAATGACGATGCCTGAAATCCCAAATATGAGTACCAACATGACGGGAAAGCTGGTTCCTAAAGAGGACATGGACATTGTTGCTTAAACCAAATGCAAATATGTGTACCATTCATTATTTACATTTATGGACTGTGAGGGCTGACTCCTCCCTCACAATTGGAGCTCACACTCCTGTGAGCTGACTCCACCCACTCCAGCTGAGGGTGTTACCTCCAGGCTCCACCCTATGGCCTGAACCATGGCGGTCCAGAAGAGAGGATTTTTGGGGAGATTCATTTGAGTTTATATTCTATATTAAGTATAAGCATATATTAGCATTTTATTATTATTATTAGTCATATTATTACTATTAACTTTATCCTTAATTAGTTAAGTAAATGTATCTGTTTTGTGTAGTCTTGTTTACCCCCTTTAGTTAATAGTTGGTCTGATCATCCAGCTTAAATGTTCCCCTGGTGTGTCTTGTGTTAGGTCAGTGTTTGTCATGTTCAGTTGTACATTTGATTTTGGCCTCATTTATTTGTATTGTTTGGCTCATTTTTTGGCTAATTAAAAAGCCTTAGTAATTAAACAGTTTGTGTGTTTCCTGCTACACCATCGGTCCCTTACATTTGGTGGCAGCGGTGGGATCAATCTGGTCAAGAACACACCTGTTTTGATAATTTTTTGTACTTTTCCACCTGGATCCTCCTGCATATTTTTTTTGGGGAGAAATGGGGAAAGACAAGCCCGTCACCTGAGGTGGAGCTAAAACCGCTGGGAAAGTTGATACAATAGTGGAACATGGAGAAGAATCTGAAGAAAGTCAAGAGGAAGTGAATGAAGAGGAAAATGGAGCCAGAGCAAAAGGAGAGGCTGGGAGCAGGGAGCCAACAGTTTCAGACCTGGCAGGTATTTTACAGGCCTTTATGGGACAGCAGCAGGAGCAAGAGGTAAAACAGGAAAGAGAGAGAGCACAACAGGAACATAGATTTCAAGCTTTACAACAGCAATTTCAACTCCTTCAGAAAGAGGTGCAGGAACGCTCTACACCTGATCCTGAGCCTCCAATCTCAATGCTCAGTCCTGCAGAGGAGAAAGCTCCTTCCTCATGGGCCTACACAAGCCTAAAGCCTAAAGACTCCACAGCATGCCATGTGCTCACAGGTCAGTCTCAATCATTTCATGAACCAAGGCTTGAAAAGTTAACAAGTGAAGATGATATTGAACACTATCTCATAACATTTGAAAGAATTGCAGTAGTTTGTAGATGGTCTCAAACAGACTGGGTTTTCCGGCTTATTCCTTTGCTCACTGGGAAAGCTAGAGCTGCTTATGTGCACATGGATATGGATGAGGCCCATGACTATGAAAATGTTAAAATGGCTATTTTACAAAAGTATGATATAAATGCAGAGACCTACAGACAAAGGTTCCGGTCTCTCAGCGTTGACCCAGGTGAGAGCCCTAAAGAACTTTATGTAAGACTGAAAGAGGTATATAGGAAATGGATCCAACCTAAATGCAAAACTGTGAATGATGTCAATGAACTGATTATAATGGAACAGTATTTGAGGATGTTGTCTCCAGAGCTCCAGGTTTGGATTAAAGAGCATGACCCCAAGACTGCTTCAGACGCAGCCACTCTGGCAGAGGTGTTTGTGGCAGCTCGGAAGAAAAATCAATCCTGGACCAATACCGCATGGAAGGCTGGGAGAGAAGCTCGGAAGCTACCTCAACCGCACCACCAGAGGGCACCACCTAGTAAAATGCCTTCAAGTGAAGGTCAGTCAACGGGGCCACATACAAACCTGATGCCGAGGTTAAACAAAATACCCATCTGTTATCTTTGTGGAGAAGAAGGCCATACTAAGCCGGTGTGCCCAAAGAACCCAGCTAGATTCACACAGATGTGCTTTGTGCCACGACAAACGTTAACATCTACGGATGAGAAGAGTACAAATACTAAAGTGATTTCTGTGAAAGTGAATGGGAAAACTGTAAAAGCCCTACTGGACACAGGCAGTACTCAGACACTGGTGCATATGAAGCAATCTCATTTGCACTGAAGACACCATCCCCATATGCTGTGTTCATGGTGACGAGAAACCTTATCCGACTGCTGATGTGTACATTGAAATCAAAGGACAATCTTACGTGATGAGTGTTGGAGTAGCCGATAACTTACCTTTTCCAGTGGTTCTCGGTGAAGATATGCCCATCTTGTATGATTTGATAAAGCCCACAAAAAGCTGCAATGTGGTCACAAGGGCTCAGTCAAAAAGGTGTGACGAATCACCTGCTCTTAGTGCTTTACCTTTTTATGACGCAGAGCTGGAGACGAAACCCGGGAAGTCCAGAAAGCCACGCAGTCAGAAAAGGCAACAGAAATTCCATCACACTGTTGTAACGGCACCAGGTGAGCTGGATTCACACCTGCCCTTAAAGTATAAACTTCCAACCAATATTGTTGAAATGCAGCAAAGTGACCCAACCCTGTCAAAATTGCTTCTAAAGGCTAAAGAGAGACTGAGTTTGGATGGAGACTCTACAGAGTCAGCGGGAGAATTTTTCTTACAAAAGGACATTTTATATCGTCAGCAAGGTCAAGTCAAACAGCTGGTAGTGCCACAAACTGTCCGAGAGGTTATACTTACTTTGGGCCATTCTATTCCTTGGGCTGGCCACATGGGGAAACATAAGACCATGGCACGTATCAAGCGTCATTTTTATTGGCCTGGCCTACGCTCTGCAGTTGTCCAATTTTGCAAAAGCTGTCCTGAGTGTCAAAGAACCACTCTCCGAGCTCCCACTAAAGTTCCGCTCCAGCCTCTCCCAACAATAACAATTCCGTTTGACCGCCTTGGAATGGATGTGGTTGGTCCAGTGGAGAAAAGCAAATCAGGAAATCGATTCATGTTGGTAGTTACAGATTATGCCACAAAATATCCAGAAGTTTTCCCTTTACGCAATGTGAAGGCAAGAACTGTGGCCTTTTCCCTCATCCAGCTGTTTTCCAGAGTGGGATTCCCAAGCGAAATTGTGACTGATCAAGGAACTAACTTTATGTCTGAACTTTTGAAGCAGGTCTACAAATTGCTGGGTATTCGCAGTGTACGGACAACCCCCTATCACCCACAAACGGACGGCTTGACAGAACGGTTCAATCAAACCCTCAAACAAATGCTTCGTAAGTTTGTGAACGACACTGGTTCCGATTGGGATCAGTGGCTCCCTTACCTCCTTTTTGCCTATAGGGAGGTACCTCAGGCCTCCTCTGGGTTTTCTCCCTTTGAACTTTTATATGGACATGAAGTGAGGGGCCCATTGACTTTGTTGAAGGAGACATGGGAGGGAGATCAGGGGAGGGGGGAGCCCATTAATGTAATTTCTTATGTCATTCAGATGCGTGAAAGGCTGCAAAAGATGAGTGATCTGGCTCAGGAGAACATGAAAGCGGCACAACATGATCAGAAGAGGTGGTACGATCGGGCAGCACGCCACAGAAATTTGGAACCTGGAAACAAGGTATTGGTCATGTTGCCCACCAGTGACTGCAAACTCCTAGCAAAGTGGCAAGGGCCCTATGACATCACAAGAAAGATTGGCCCCACCACATATGAAATCTCCATGCCTGGGCGTCATCGCTCCAAAAGAATCCTCCATGTTAACCTTCTCAAGGAGTGGTTTCCCAGAGAGGAGAAAATGGCGGAGGTGATGCTGATCCGGAAGGTGGAGGAAGAAGACGAGGTGGATGATCAATATTTACCTATAACTCAACGTTCCCATCTTGATATTTCTCACCTCAGTGAAGAACAAAAATCCCAGGTAAAGCCACTCATTGATAATGTGTTTTCGGAATATTCGGGCCGAACAAGTGTGGTGGAACATACGATTGTACTGAAACCTGATGCACCCCTTAAGCGTATGAGTTACAGAATACCTGAGCGGCTCCTGGTGGCGTTGAAGAAGGAAGTGGATCTAATGCTTTCCCTGGGAATCATTCAGCCATCAAAAAGTGAATGGTGTAATCCTGTGGTGCTGGTTCCTAAAAAGGATGGGGCGATCAGGTTCTGTATAGACTTCCGGTACTTAAATTCTGTCTCAAAGTTTGATTGTTATCCAACCCCCCGAGTCGATGACCTGATTGGGCGACTGGGAAAGGCCAAGTACCTCACCACCATTGGTGGTGAGGTACTTGGTTATTGGCAGGTTCCCCTCGCACAGCAGTCACAGGAGTTCACGGCCTTCCGCACACCCTGGGGATTGTTTGAGTTTACGGTTCTGCCATTTGGTCTCCATGGCGCCCCAGCAAGCTTCCAACGATTGATGGACCAGGTACTGTGTGGTCATTCAGAGTATGCCTGTGCTTATCTGGATGACATTGTTATTTTCAGTACCACCTGGGGGGAACATTTGGAGCATCTGGCAAAGGTTCTGGGAGCTCTAAAGGCAGCTGGTCTCACATTAAACCCAGCAAAGTGCTCTCTGGCCCAGGCTGAGACCCAGTACCTTGGCTTCATAATTGGAGGTGGGGTAATCAAACCGCAGATTAAAAAGATTGAAGCGATTGCATCTTGTCCATTGCCACAAACTAGGAAGCAGTTAAGGTCTTTCCTAGGGATGGCCGGGTTTTATCATCGCTTCATCCCACAATTCTCTGCTCGAGCGGCACTTCTGACAGATATGACTGGCTCTCAGCAACCGAATCAGCTGAAGTGGACAGAAGAGAGGATAGCGGCGTACAAGGACATTCAACAAGCCTTGAGTAAGGATCCAGTGTTGCTCTGTCTGGATTTTGACAAAGACTTTGTTTTGCAAACAGACGCATCTGACCGGGGCATTGGAGCGGTGCTGCTGCAAGGACCGCCGGAAGACAGACACCCGGTTGCATACATAAGCCGCAAGCTGTTCCCCCGGGAGGTGCGGTATGCAACCATTGAAAAGGAAGCTTTGGCCATAAAATGGGCGCTGGACTCCTTTAAGTATTATCTGCTGGGACGTCAGTTCGTCTTGCAGAAAGACCATAAGGCTCTGCAGTGGCTGGAGAAGATGCGGGACACCAATGGGAGAATCACCAGATGGTATATCGCAATGCAGCCGTTCAGATTTGTGGTCCAGCACATTCCCGGAAAGGAGAACCACACCGCTGACTATCTTTCCCGCAGCCACAGTGAACTTTTTGAAGAGGGGGGGTATGTGAGGGCTGACTCCTCCCTCACAATTGGAGCTCACACTCCTGTGAGCTGACTCCACCCACTCCAGCTGAGGGTGTTACCTCCAGGCTCCACCCTATGGCCTGAACCATGGCAGGTCCAGAAGAGGGGATGTTTGGGGAGATTCATTTGAGTTTATATTCTATATTAAGTATAAGCATATATTAGCATTTTATTATTATTATTATTATTAGTCATATTATTACTATTAACTTTATCCTTAATTAGTTAAGTAAATGTATCTGTTTTGTGTAGTCTTGTTTACCCCCTTTAGTTAATAGTTGGTCTGATCATCCAGCTTAAATGTTCCCCTGGTGTGTCTTGTGTTAGGTCAGTGTTTGTCATGTTCAGTTGTACATTTGATTTTGGCCTCATTTATTTGTATTGTTTGGCTCATTTTTTGGCTAATTAAAAAGCCTTAGTAATTAAACAGTTTGTGTGTTTCCTGCTACACCATCGGTCCCTTACATGGACATTGGTCATCTGCCCCTTATGGCCCAATGGCTCTATGTATATCTATTTTTCATTGCATTTCTTGTGTTGGATTCTCTGATCTGTGTCCTCTGAGATAGCTACTGTTGTGATTTAGGGCTACACAAAAATAAATTGACTTGAGTTGAATAAATAGAAGAGAGACTAACCGTCGTCCCCAGTGCCTGTCACTTGGATGAATATGGATTTGCTGAATTCCCCAAACTTGGAGTACGGCTTCATACTACAGCGTATGTGCACCTCATACTCTCGTTCGATGTGGAGCCCGTAAATGGTCTGCTTGGGCTGGCTTTGGATCTCCATCTGCAAAAAGGACATGGGAAAACATGTGAGACAAGAACCTAGGTGACTCTCCATCTTACGTGCATACACAAGACAAACAGTAGTACTTAAAAATCTTAAAGGTACTCTGTGTCATTTTTACAGTTGACCCAAATGAAAAAAACATTTTGAACCAAAAACAAATGTGACCTTTTTCAAGAATATTTACTGTACCTCCACCATGTTTTTGAATTGTTGTCATAGACTTAGATTTGGACTTTAAGATGTCCATGATAGCTGGAGGACTCAATGCGCCATCTTGAAATACAGTGGTTGATATGGGACAAAAACGAGTTTGAGCTGGAGATGGGGACCACTGTCGAAGACGGCTTTTTGTCCTGTGAAGCTACCGTAGTACCATAGATGACAAATTATAATCTCAATGCTAGATGGGAGTAAAAACTACAGTGTCCTTTAAAGAGCATACTTTACTTGTTTGGGTTATAGGTATCAATATCAAAACAGCAATCATATAAGCAACGTACTAAGATTCAGGTAAAGGTACTTTATGGTCCACATAGAGAAGAATGATTGTGCATGTTCTGTTACATATGGGTACAGCTATACATACAAGTAGGTTGTCTGGTTTATTGTCTGGGTTTGGTCTATGTTTGGTTCTGGTCTAGACTTATTTTGGGTCTTATTTTGCTGCAGGTCTGGTCTTGGTTTGGATCTAGACAAGTTTTTGACTAGATCTGGTCTAGTAAAAACTGGTTTTGATCTGGTCTTTGTCTGGTTCTGGCCCAGACTTTTATCTGGGTTTGGTTTTTTGGTGCAGGTCTGATCTTGATCCGAGTCAGGTCTGGGTCCGGGTCTGGTCTTGTGCTTGTTTTACGGTTCAAGAAGGACACATTGAGCTTTCTTGAACCTGTATAGACAATGTACAGCTTGTCCTACAGATGACAGTAGTGAAGGTTTAAGCAAAACTTTTGATAAATTAAAAGTTAAAAGTGCATGTTTTATTTATGCAATGTGCACGGTGAGGCTGTTAGAAGCAAGGTTACCAATCCACCACCTCCACATTCACCTTGTTCAGACTTTGCAATGTGGGTGAAGTGCTGTGAATACGGATGACTGTTTTTAAAATTGGCTACAGTTGTCCATAAGGAATCTGGCATATTTCTCCTGGTCTCCCATCACCGCGTTGCCAGCTCTCCACCGCTTAGAATCTGATATATTAAATGATTCTGCATTTATATAACAGGTAGGACCTCATGGCCGCCAGAAGTATGTGGGACAGTATGTGGGTGTGTGCCATGGGGGGGGGGGGTAATGAATATGAGCTTGTTCAGGGTCCCATGACCTCTGACCCACAGATCCCTCCCTTCACTTCCTTCAGAGGCTGACATTTCCCAGAGGGCTTTGCTCCAGAGTTCTGCCAACAAAGCTCCATACTGCCCTTCAGCACAGAGTTCAGGGAGGGGGCTGAAACATAGCACTCAGCCAAACATACATTTTAATTTGACACAGCTAAAGCGTTTATGACGACAGAGAAGGTACATTTGGTCTTTTGATAATTACAAAAAAAAATATTAAATCAATTAATTAATCTTTATTTATAGAGAACAAACATTAAAACTGCAATGCATTTGTATTGTAAGATTAAAAGTAAGTTATTAGTCTTGACCATTCTTTCTTGTAGTAGTTAAAAGCTTCTCTTTTTGTTTTTTGTTTCTTGATATACTTTCAGATAAATGCAGCTAGGATGTGGAACGGTCTTCTTGGGGTTATGAGACGGGCCTCTACCCTGACCATGTTCAAAACTAGGCTGAAAACATATTTTATGCTGTGCTTACAACTGATTCCATTTTGTAATATCTATTGCTTTTATCTCCTGTTTTAAACCCACATTTGAATGAGTTTTAAAACCCATACTTTTATGCTGCTCTGCTTTAATATGAAATGATTGTATATTTCATGGACTTATCATGCATTTTGATCTGTGATTTTAAATTGCTCTTGTGAAGCACTTTGAATTGCCTTGTACACGAATAGTGCTATACAAATAAATGATTGATTCCTCAGACCTTGATTCTACGATAAAGTCTATACAATCCTGAAGGTAAAGAGTCAGATCCAACATGTCCTGGACCTTCCCTGTGGGTCTCCTCCCATTGCATAAAGTGAAATTAAAACCTGGATAACACATCAGCCCCCCTCACCCACGTTCACAAACATCAATGACCATACATGCAAGTGAAAGCCTGAGCTCATCATATATCTCAGAAGCTAAGCAGGGCACGGCCTGGTTAGGACTTTGATGGGAGACCTCTGAGAACACCAGGTGCTACACAGTCGTGCGGCTATGGTTGTAAAGTGACAAACTTTTGTTGTGTCCCTAGACAAGACACCACATTACCTTGTGTGTGTGTGTGTGTGCGTGTGTGCGTGTGTACATTGATCATCCTACTACGCTATGGACCAATGGCTTTTTAAAACTTTTTAATTTTCTGATTTGTTGTTGCTGAATTGACAACTTTGTAAAGACCTCTGAGACGGCTGCTGTTGTGATTTAGGGCTGTACAAAAATAAATTGAATTGAAAATGTGTGTTTACCACCATTGTGCACGGGGGCAATGAATAACACCATGTGAGGAGTCTCTGAAAGTCCAGAAAAGCTCTACATAAAAATAAGTATATAGTTATAGTGGTGCATACGTCTTTCCACTTGGTTGAGTTGACTTCTCTGAACTGCAGCTGGTACTCCACGCTCATCCATCCAGAGTTCACGTCTGCGGAGGGCGGGTGGTCCCAGCTCACCAGCACATCATAACGGAGACCGGAGGGACTCAGATTCAGCAGGGTCCAGTTTAAAGCCACGGGGGGGTCCGGCCGCACTGTGGAATACAAAGCAACTCATCATAGATATATACTGGAGATGTAGATGAGCGGCTAAGTTGGTAGAGCATTGGTCTTTGAACCTAATGGTTGTGGATTTGAGCCCCCCACGACTCACCTGCTCCCACTGACTGTTGTTGTGTCCCTGAGCAAGACACTTAACCCCAATTTGCCCCCGAAGCCCCTGCTGAAAGACCAAGGCTTTGTCATCGCTGACGGAGTAGCTAAGGACAGTGGTGATGATCCAGGACCCTCGACAGTCAACAACATTTATGGACAATTATCAACATTCATAGACATTGGTCATTTGCCCCTTATGGACCAATGACTCTGTTTTTTTTTATGGCTGCATTTCTTGAGTTTGAACGGTTTGATTCTCTGATCTGTGTTGGTGAATTCAATGGTTTTGTAAAGTCCTCTGCAATAACTACTGTTGTGATTTAGGGCTATACAAGAATAGATTCCCCTCAACCCAGAAATTGACTAATAAGGGGGATTAATGAATTAATATAGATACTTGTAAAAAGAATATGGTTCATTTCTGGGCGGAGGTGAGCGGCACACAATCTCCTGTACTCAATGATGACCAAGGATGAATCATTAGTGCATTTCCAACCACTAATGAAAACTAGATTCATTGCCTACTTCAATTCAGTTTGAGTGAGCAAGAAGCATCTGTCTTTGTCTTCTGTTGGTGTGAAAAGCCAGTCAGTTTGACGTAACTAGGTCAATGTTTTTCTATGAGTTGGGCATATTTGAAAATCTAACGCACAAAGTAATCAAGATGTTGCATGACTACTTTTGGGGTGATATTTCTCTATATACTGTACACGTATAAGTATGCCTATACAGTATATAGAGCAATATTAGTGCAAAGGCAAAGTTAGTAGACGCCTTTGAAAGCATCACAAGGCTGCAATTTTCTGCCGGGACCGCTTTGAAAATGTAACTGAATAGAGTCCTTTTTTTTATTTTATTTTTTTAACATTGCGCATTTTGGTGTAAAAGTAGTTTATATTAACCTACAACCAGGTCACCATTGCTTGTGAGTGAATGAGTACCACAACTCAAACTCTGGGTAATTGGCAAAAGCAAAGTCATGTTACACAGCCTTGTCTTGTCTTGTAAAATACTGTTTGCATTTTTTTTCATTTATTACCAAATCTTTTTAGCCACACAACAAAGCTGCCCAAGTTTATGTCACTAAGATAAAGGAAAATAAGTTGATAATGTGATTCCTCATCTGTGGGAATGCGCTGTGCGATCATTTCGATACTATGTGTGTCACATCAAAAACCCTCCTGCCTTTGAAACAGATAAGCAGCTGACATTTGCGACTGGAGCTGATAGGAAGCAAATAGGCGTCATTTGCCAAAACAAAATCTGCGCTGAACGGGTACATTACCATAATTGTGTCATTTTCCTCTACGTATGCTGCTACATTTTTCCTGAGCAAATATATATTCACTGGAACATTTTGAAAGTCATTTGCAGGTTCGGTAGTGTCAAATAAACATGTAAAACAGTCTGTATGCCAAAGGGAGTTGTCATAATTAAAAAAATAGTGATATCAAGTTAACTAGACCGGATCTAAAATCAATAGGGATTACATTGAAGATCATAGGAGGGGTGTGGAAAAAAGATAACACACTTAATCCTTTACCAAATAAGGTTAAATCATAGCCTTTTTACAGTATTAGTGCTCAATTCAATACGAAAAAGATGTCTGCATTTTGTTTTGATAATTCTTAAGTTCAATATTAGTCTTTCTCTCTCTCTTTCGGAGTAAGTAATTAGTATCCATCCATCCATCCATTTTCTTCCCCTTAATCCATTTCTGGGTTGGGGGTGTGTCAGTCAGAGCTGCACCCAGTACACTTAGCACCAGCCCCTCAATGATCCTCCTGCAGGTGTTGAGTCCACAGGAGCTGAGATCTTCCAGCGGGGCTTTGGGCAAAGTGGGGTTAAGTGTCTTGCCCAAGGACACAACGACAGCAGTACTTATTTACTATAGAGTAAGTAGTATAATTTATATATTTCCTTTCACAGACCAGTCACTTTTTTTTGCATTTATCTCTCTCTGGAAGTGAGAGACACTCCCATATCTTTCTTTTTCTCCCTCTCTCTCTCTCTGTATATACTGTATAAGGGTGAGGAAGTGTCACCAGCTCGCCTCAATGTTGGACGTGGAGTACTTTTCTTACCGATATCGTTCAGAGTGAAGCAGTCGTCTTCGTTGGTGTACGTCACATTATGGACGTGGATCTCCAGACAATATGTGACCCACACTTCAGTGTGTTTGGCGTCAAAATAGCACTCCCGGTTTTGGAAATCATACTGTGGACACTCGTTCCACTCACTCTTGATGGGGCTGAAGCAGACAGATGTTAGTAGGAGGAAATGACTTGCAGATGTTTTGTGACTTTAAAGCCCCTTTACCTTTTCTTATGGTAGATAATCTTGATATCTTGAGAAGACGTGAGGTTCTGGAAGCTTCCCGGGTTCCACCAACAGCTGAAAGTGGTCATCTCTCTCGAAACACAGGCAGTGAAATGAGGCACAAGGGGAGCTGCAAAATCAAATTCAACGCATTAGTCCACTTTACTCACATTCAATTTAAAAGGGTAGTTTTCACATAGATTTTTTTCTTTTATTTTTCTTGCCCTTTTCAGTTCTTAAGATGAACTTATAGCATTGGCATTAGAAGGTTAAAATATGCAGCCATGACATGTTAATTAAAAGGTAATTTAATGAAGAAAACAACCGCCTAATTTTGTTCTGAAGTTTGGACCCAAAGATTTTGTCACAATTTGATTAAAAATATAAATACAGACCAAAAGTTTGGAGACACTTTCTTATTCAATGTTTTTCCTTTCTTTTCAGGCTGTGTAAAGGCTATTTGACCAATAAGGAGAGTGGTGGTGCAGGGCCAGATGACCTGGTCTCCACAGTCCAGACCTGGACCACAGAGTGAAGGCAAAAGTGCCAACAAGTGTTAAGCATCTGTGGGAACTCTTGAAGCTCATCAAGAGAATGCAAAGAGTGTGTGAAGCAGTAATCAGAGCAAAAGGTGCTACTTTGAAGAACCTAAAATATAAGACATATTTTCAGTTGTTTCATACTTTATTTTAGTACGTACATAATTATAGTTTTTTGGCCTTCTGTGTGAAACTACAATTTTCATAATCATGAAAATAAAAAAACTCTTTGAATGAGAAGGTGTGTCCAAACTTTTGGTCTGTACCAACATTCATCCAGTGATCAATCTACACACAACCGCACTTCAATGGTTTCAGAAAAATCTACAGATGAATTTACTTGGACCAAACACCCAACTTAAATATAGAAAAATAGAACCACAAATGAAAAAGACAGGCTTTAAACAGATGTTCTACAAAGAAAACAATGGATGCCTTATGTTAGTAGAGTTGTTGGATTTTCATTAAAGTGAATTAGAATATATTCAAAGTTTAGACAGTTTTGAGTTAACCTATGTGTGTGGTGGGATGTGATGGACGCATCAGCAGCATTTTCCCATCCCCCAGCCATTAAACACAGGAAGTTAAATTAAGAAGAGCGTAGAGAACATCTGTTTAGAGTAGCCTCAGGCTTATTCACACAGGGGCTATTTGTGTGTCCTGAACAGAAGAGAAGGTATTGTCTTCATCTAAGGATGGTGGGACATATGGTCACATGTGTTTCAAATTATCATGGTATAAGACGAGAGCTCTTTGGTTCATTCTTTGTCACTCTGCTGCTTTCCATCCAGCAGAAACCCAGACTGGTGTAGTCTGTAACTTGTCTGTTTGTGCTGATGTCCAGATAACCTGTAGTTTTGAACCAGCGGCTGACAACATGTATTAAAGAGATTATGTTGTTGAAATGTGAGTAGTTTATTCACATATTTTGGTCCTTCTTGCGCCGGATGCCAACATGCTTTTCTGCGGAGCTGAGGATGCCTCAAACATGGAGTTGGAGCAGCGGTGAGACCTTCTTCATTCAGAACTGCTTTGAGGACTCCATCTTTGAGGCATGGCCAGTCTCCGGATTGAAGTTGACGGCAGAACTAGAGTTTCTGGACATCCACATGGACAAGGTAAAACTATTTTTTCCTAAAAAAAAAAAAGAAACTAAATTTAAATCGTCTTTGAAGGCAGGAAATCCATTTTATCTCCTCACAAAAGCATTGGGGCAGTGAGATATCACGCACTTCTAAGACTCAAAAAAAAGAGGCCGGGGATAACGAGGCTTATCCTTTTAATAGTCGAGGGCTATTTCTTAGGCCTAGGATAACGAGGCTTATCCTTCTAATAGTCGAGGAGCTATTACAAATTCAGCACTATGGACGCATACGTGTAGTTGGACAACCAGATCTGGCCATTTGAGGGAAAATGGAACATTTTGAGAGTGGTGATTTTTTCTTCAGCTGATTAGTGACTTTTTGGTAGAACTTTGTGGTAGCCTGCATAATAAGACGACAACAATTTTTCTAATAATAATTTAAACTGGAAATTGAAATTTAGATATAAAGGCCTAAAGTGTGAGTGTGTGTGTGCGTGCACGTTTGAGGTGCATCCTTTGTGTCCCCTTCTGCCTTTTCCCCTCTCCCCCCCCCTCCCTGGTCCCCCTCTTCCCCTCATCCCCCTTCTCCCTTGCTCCCAATTCTGTCCCTCCCGTCTGCTCAACTCTAGTTGGGTGGAGTATGTTTTTTATAGTTTAACTACTTTTGTTAATGCTAGCTACATTAACAAAAATAATTAAAAAGGGGTGGAACCAGTGATAAACATTTTACTGGTGAAAACATTTGGTAATGAGATTAGAGAATCATAGATAGATTTGAATTGACTTGAGCTGTGAAATGTTTGTGATTGGACAACTTTAAAGTTACAACATTTGGTACAAGCTCAAAAGGATTAGGCTGAAGCCGAATTAGATTGATGATAAATAAGACTCAAAGTTAGCTCAGATTTTTGTTTGCTTATGATCACAAAAGATGGTATTTTGTGCACACAAGTAGACTTTTATGTTAATTTTTGGGTTTGATTTGGAGTTTTTGTTTGTTTTGTGAGTAACTGTCTTTATGTGTAAGATTTAACAGACTAACATTTCCTCTTATGTGAGTAGTATTTGTTTGTTACTGCAGGTTTTGCATGTAAGTGTTTGTCTTCTGTGTCTAGGACTTAACTGACTGAACTAACGGACTATAAAATGGGAATAAACATCAGGACTAAAATATTATTTCACAAATAATATGAAACAATATTAGGGTAAAATCAACAGAATTGTCAACTAATATTTTGTTCTGTTTCTGAGTTTGTTTCTGTCTCAGCTGAGAGAGGGACGTCTGGGGACAGTGTTTGGTTGTTCCCGGCACAGCATCGGTCACATGCTTCACCTCACTCCAACCAGAGAGACAGGTCTAAGAGCAGGAGGAGGGGGAGAAGCATCGGCAGAGGTGCTGTGGATGGGAACGACGAATCAGACGCCTAAGAAGTCCTCTCTGACTGATGCTGACACAGAACAATCAGATAAGTGGAAAACACTCTGAAAATAAGCAGTTTAATTTTTCAGATTTGAATAATAAATATGTTTAGTTTCATTTGAAGGGTTTAAATTCAACAGTAAGGGAAGTTACTGTAGCATGTTTAATGTTTACATCAAAGAAATGCAAATCTGTTTGATTCTGAATATAACTAGTTATACATTATTTCAATAGTTAATTGTGATGTTTTCATTTCTGAGACAAGAAAATTACAGTAATAGGACTGTCTTCAGCAACAGTTTTCATTAACTGCTAAGGTTTTCTTTTGGGGTTTACTGAACTAAGTCTGAAATGTATTAACAAATGTGTACTTTGTGTGTTTTGTTTGAGGGAAACACCTAAAACACCACTTTTGATGCTCAAAAAGCTCAGAGTTCATTCCTGTGAAGGAGACGCCCACTCCCACCCCCACCAATCATCAACCAGCAAACCAAGCCAAACTAAGCCAAATCAGCAGGCCAAACCAGGGCTAAATGCTGCAACGACAGAAGCAATGATGCAAAGGGTCATCCAGAGGTCAGACTCAAATCAACAACTTGACTCTGTGTGTGTTTGGGACATTTTGCAGATTTCCAAAACATCTGAAAGACTGGGTTGACCGAAGACATCACCTTTGTGCATAGATCTGAGGACTGGAGGTTTCCAGTTTTTGCTGTCGGTTCTAAAGTGTGTGAACAGGAAAAGAGGCTTCTGGACATGACGGGGCTGTGCTGGATGGTGCTGGACATTGCTGGCTGCAGAAGACATTGGGGTTTGGAGGCGTTTCTACAACAGGCGTTACTGGACAATAGGCTTTTTGGTGTGGGGTGTGTAATTTGCTAACCAAAGTTGACACATTTCAAGTTAATACATTTCAGGTTAAAACATTCCAGGTTAATACATTTCAAATGAACGTTTAGTTTAAAAATGTTGATGCTACATTAATTTACATGAGTAAATTGGGAATTTGTGTCTTTTTCATTTCATACACATGAATAATTAGGAATTATGTTCAGTTATTGAGCCATTTTTAATGTCTCAAACAGGGGGGAGATATGGTTTATGGGGGAGCAATTACATATGAATATGAAATGATCTCTAAAAAACTTTTTTTTTGAGTTCTTTTCTGTGTGTGTTTCTGTAACCAATGTGATTTTTATAAGACACATCTCAAGAGGGGTCTCTAAGTTGAGTCGATGCAACTTGGATTCAAATGTAAAACTGTGTTTGTATTAACTTCATTGTGTTCCATTTTTAAGTTGGTTTACTAAACATTGAATGTGATTAATTCTTTTAATGAAAAAAAAGGAGGGAATGTTAGTAGAGTTGTTGGATTTTCATTAAAGTGAATTAGAATATATTCAAAGTTTAGACAGTTTTGAGTTAACCTATGTGTGTGGTGGGATGTGATGGACGCATCAGCAGCATTTTCCCATCCCCCAGCCATTAAACACAGGGAGTTAAATTAAGAAGAGCGTAGAGAACATCTGTTTAGAGTAGCCTCAGGCTTATTCACACAGGGGCTATTTGTGTGTCCTGAACAGAAGAGAAGGTATTGTCTTCATCTAAGGATGGTGGGACATATGGTCACATGTGTTTCAAATTATCATGGTATAAGACGAGAGCTCTTTGGTTCATTCTTTGTCACTCTGCTGCTTTCCATCCAGCAGAAACCCAGACTGGTGTAGTCTGTAACTTGTCTGTTTGTGCTGATGTCCAGATAACCTGTAGTTTTGAACCAGCGGCTGACAACATGTATTAAAGAGATTATGTTGTTGAAATGTGAGTAGTTTATTCACACCTTAGTTTAAAAATAGAGCCATAGAATGTGACAACCAGCTATACTAATATACCATATCAAATATGATTTCCAAGCATATCTAAACCAGGACTTGTCTTGGTATAATTTAGGGATTAAAAAGGTCTTAAATGAGACATATTATTAGTTCTCTTTTGGTCATTTAAAATGATGAGACTATGTCATTTTATAGAAAATAAGTAGAATATGCATGGTGAAACAAGTATAGAGTAAAACGTGTTTTCTGCCT